GTATCCTGCTGAGTTGTTGCCATCTAATATCACCTCAAATAGGTAAATAAACTTTTCTTCTTGTTTTGTCAGCTTCCTGATCTTTACAACCTAATGGTCGAAGCCGCAGAAATATTAAATGTTGATGCCCCTGATCTATATGTTCGTCAAAGTCCTCAGCCAAATGCATATACATTAGCTATAAGTGGTAAACGACCGTTTGTTGTCATTCATACTAGCCTTGTGGAGCTCCTGACAAAAGCAGAGTTGCAGGTTCTAATTTGTTTTTGTTACATCTTTTTTCAACTCAACTTAACTAGTTTAGCATCCATGAAGTCACCCCTCTCCCAACCCAAAAAAAAAAAAAAGAAATGAAAACATTCCTGCACGATCCATCCATCAATACTAAGAATTTGGAAGATAGATTTTGAGGTGAATGATGTTGGATGTAGGTTCCATTTCATGGTGTATAGGTTCTTTGCCAATATGCCTGATCAATTTATTAGTCCAGCCATGTTTTCCTATCTTATCTATTGTTCTGGTTCTAAAATATTATTAACTTGTCATCAACTCACTTTATCAGGCTGTTTTGGCTCATGAACTGGGTCACTTAAAATGTGATCATGGTGTGTGGCTTACATATGCAAATATTCTAACCCTTGGAGCCTATTCTGTACCTGGTAGGTGATATGGAGCGTTTTTCTTAAGTTTTTAATAATGTCTAAATACCCCAACGCATGGATATATGTTATACATTACGGTAAAGTAGTTACTACGTTGGATAAACATTTTTTTTATCTTGAGTATGATCTGCGAATAAAATCCATGTCACTCTTACCACTTGAAGACTTGTTCATAATGCAATATTTCAAACTTTTTTCTTTCACCTTTGAAAGCGTAGCTTATTTTGATAATGGATATATATATATATATATATGTGTGTGTAGTTCTATCTTTTGCGACTCTTGTGTTATATTGACTAGGAGTTTTTTCATACTTTGTTCGACTGAATTATTCATAACTAGTACCATTTGTTGTAGGCATTGGCGGTATGATAGCTCAGACTTTGGAAGAGCAGTTATTCCGCTGGCTTCGAGCAGCTGAATTGACTTGTGACCGAGCAGCTCTTCTGGTTGCTCAAGACCCCAAGGTATTCTGAGTTGACGTCAAAAATCATGATCTATGTGTAGATTGGTTATTGAGCCTGTTTGGATACAGTTTAAAAAGGTCTTTGAAAGTTTTTTTATTCACTAGTGAAACTTTTAAAAATCTTTTTAGACTTGTATCTAAACATGTTCATTGTTCATCGATTGAAATATTGAAATGTAAATTTTTTATTCCCCAACCCCACAAGAGGTGGTCATATCTGTCCTCATGAAATTAGCTGGGGGATGTCCATCTATGGCTGATCAACTAAATGTGGATGCATTCCTGGAGCAAGCTCGCTCTTATGAAAAAGCTGCTTCGAGCCCAGTTGGGTGGTATATAAGGTTTGTAGCAACCTGTTTAGGGAACTAGAAGGTTGTGTTGTGATTTCTTTCATTCAGAAGCTAAACTGCTGCTACTGATTAGGAATGCACAAACAAGGCAACTGTCACATCCTCTACCTGTTCTACGTGCTAGTGAAATTGATGAATGGTCAAGAAGTCCAGCTTATAAATCGCTTTTGAAACGTGGAATTCAGACCAAATCACTAGAACAAAATGTCTAGCAGTGCGTGCTTGGATTTTGTCCCAGTGCACAACAGCTCAATACCTATTAAAACGGTAATGTGTCTGCTTTACTTTTCCGAAACTTCACCTATGACAGTAATAAGATCAGCAATAATTATTACACCCTCTGTATAAATAAAAAGGATCAATTTCACACAGATGAAGAAATGCAGTTGAATGCATTTATATTTCATGATATTATATAAAATATTATACACTACATTTACTAAAATATCTTTAATCACATTTATCGTAAATAGTATTCTCATTTTTAGGGATGTTTTTGAATTAAGAGTATTAAATAAAGTTGACTTGATAGAAATTTACTTATACTTTTAAGTATTTTTTACTTATATATTGGTCTAGAAAGAGTAATCTATTTATATGAGTGATAGAATTAAATATAATGCAAGAGCCACCACCCTTTCTAATACATTTCTCCTAATATAGAATACACTTCTTATTTTTAGCTAAAATTTATTAGAAACACAAAATTATGGGTGAAATTTATTAAATAAGTGAAATCTATAATACAATTTTGTGATTTTCAATAAATCTTAATCAGTATTAGAATGTGTTTAGAAGAGTGTTAAAAAGAGTGTGTTAGATTATTTAGCATTTATCATACATGTAAATGGTAGATATTGCATATAATATATGAAGTTGGATTAAATATAATGACAATAAGCCTGGTTCTCATTCCTTTCCGCAGTAGTATAACTACATGTTCATACCTTCCTAAACGGTTTAGGGAATAATAAGTATGCCAGTAATGTTGGTCTAATGGTCTTAGCAAATGACGAGCCATAACCCACTATTTTTTATTTTACTTTATGGAACATTTAATGCTTGGTGGCAGATGTTCAAATGGTCTCAGGAGGCAGTATATTTATTGTAGATCTACGGCTGCTTCAGACTTCTCTTTCTGTAAATCTACAAATGTGGATTCACTATGTTATATAGTCAACCTGTAAGTATAATTTTGATGACATGGATTATTATTTCATAGAAACATTGGCTCTGGGAAGGGAAAGAATTACATGTATAATTCTAGATCATAAAATTTATCGGAAGTAGAAAACTATTATGCAAGTTTTATGATAGAATTTTTATTTGTATGGTATATATATATATATTTTATAGTTATGTTATTGTTACGAAATATTTATTAATTTTGTTATTGATTATTTCTTTTGATCGATATTTTTAATAATTTTTTTTAACACAAATTGAATACGAAACTTTGTTTAAAAGGTGTGAATCGCACCACTTTTGGATTAACAACTTATATAGAGTTTCTGGCAAGATTATTAGATTATATATCAATCAGTGGAAGAAAGTAGGAGTCCTTGCTACATCACGTTAGATAAAATGGCAAATCCACTTAGACTTCAAGTTGAAATTGGACCGAACATGTCGGTATGATTAATTCGATCTTTTTAATTGGTTTGATTGATTTTAAAAGTTGATTGGCAGCGAACTCATGATAAATCGGTAGAACAGGTAGAATAGATTTAGAATCGTTCAAATCAATTCGCACTGGTTCAATTAAAAAATATTTTTTTTTTAATTTTATAATTTAATTTTAAATATTTTCAATAAAAATATATATTTAAAATATAAATTAGAATAACTTATTTTTAATATTTATCTTATAAATATAATTTAATCATTTATGTTAATTTATAATTTTTAATGTTTTTATTTTTGTAATTTATATTATATTAATTTAATAGTTTTTATTCTAAATGTAAACTTATTAATGAATATTATTATATTTTATTAAAATTAAACCTAAATATCATATTATGTTTAGTTTAAAACTTAATTATTATATTACATAAAATGTTAAGAGTTCATAACTTTTAGTATTATAAAATTATAATATTATATTTATTTAATATTATTTTGATATTGATAATAATAATTATTATTTTATTAATATTTATTTAATCATGAATCAATTATAATTAAATTATTAAACTTTGAATTCTTGTTTAGATCAATTTAATAATCAATCTGATTTTAAAAATATTGTTTCACACCAATTTCCTTCTCCATATAGAATTGGTTGGTGGAGAAATAGAGTTGGTCACTAAAGGAAATGTGAAAGGAGAAAAGTAAAGAATTTTAAAAATTTTATTACTAAAAAGTTGATAATTGTGTATAAAGTTTAAAAATTAAGTGTATTAATAATCATTGTAATATTTTTTTAAAAAATGTTTGAATTGAAGCCTCGATTGGGAGTATGAAATACTTTACAGAAATTTATTTTGTACATTTTTCTGTCTATTGTCATTCATGATTTTTAGGATTGAGATTTGAGAGCTAATTGCATGTATTATTTGTCTTTTATTATAATATACCTATAATATAATAGTTTTTTCTTTAAATTTGTTAGAATTTTTGAATCATTATGATATAATTTTTTTAATTGACATTATTATCGATCAATTTATCACTATTAAAATCAATTTAAGTGAATAAATATTTGTGATAATTGTTAAATCCTTTATAGAAATCATTATTCGTCTATGAAAACATTAACATATTTAAGTCAAAAATTAGAATATTACTAGTTGGAATATAAAAAAATTCAATTAACTTGGTACTGGAAAATACTATCTATCCAAGCTTGATCCAGTTGGACTCTACCAAAAATGTACTGCATAATAATTTCAATTTAATGAGATACGGATAAGGGGTTTCTGACACTACTGCATGCAGTCCTATACCCTTCGAAAAACATAAGGAACACGTCAATAATATGAGTATCCACGTGTTTAGACTTCAAACTAGTCATTTCAACAAGCTAATAATGCTTGTCACGTTTCCCTTTTTCTTTTGTTTAAGCATTTTTTTTCTTCTTTATAGCTGTGTTCAGATGTAAGGAAAATATGGCTAAAAAGTAAAATGAAAAAAAATTAGATAAGTAAATGTAACATCTCAAATTTTTTTGGCAAATTTAATAAATATTTTTTTAAAAAATAATTATGTAATTAGAATTGATAAGATTTAGGTGATAGGTAATTAAAAATATTTTATTTTATTTTTATCTCAAAAAATATATTTTGAAATTAACTAATTAGAATTATAAGTGTTATAGACAAGAGAGAATATTTTAAAAACAAATGTTAAAGATTATTTTTAAATTTTTTAAAAAGGAATAATTTTCCACGTATGTCAATGGGTTACATGTAAATTAGGGTTAATATATTATATATAGACGTTAGTAAGACTAGTATTTGCTTTGCAAACCACTTTTAACATGTTCGTCTTGTGATTTGAAGAATGGGAAGAACAAGAGATGACCTTAGAGATTTCAATCAAGACTTTGACATTCATCAAAGTAAGAGGAATGAGAATCTCACTTCGAGTGTGGGTTATCTGCAAGGTAGAAAATTTGTATTTGAATGTATGAGGGATTAGACTCAAACTTGATTGTGATTGAAATGCATATTTATCCTTACCTTGCTTTCTGATCATGTTGTTATACTATATTTGTGTTTTTGATCTGTGATGTTGTCTTTGATTGTGAATTTATAAGAGTCCATGGATTCTCGGCGAATCCTAAGGATAAATACAAAGCAAATTATTGGAGAAACAATTAGGAATATGAAACCCTTATAGTAGAACAAATTAATTAGCTTATAGATATCCTTTTTTATTAAATGAATTTGTTTAAGTTGCGAGACCTAATGCAAATGTGATTCGCAAATTATGTAAAAGAAAAATTGTACTGATACAACATTAGGCACCACATGAGACCACCGAGCGTGAAGCAATAGAGGACTCTTTGTGACGATCACGCCAAGCATGAGCTTGGTCATGTGAAGTGCTTCTTTGTGTCTGAAACTGAAATGTTTATACTTGCCTAGTGAATATGAATAGCTTTGATATGTAAACCATATGAACTAATTGATAATAATAAGTGAAATATGTATTTTAAGGATGTAGTGTGTGTAAAATCAAAAGATGATCTTGAATCCCTTGAGAGGCTATAAGTTTTAATGATAATAAACAAAACTTTTTAGGAAGACTATTTCAGATGAAGCAAACATCATATTTCGTCTATAAGACGAAGGTTATCAAATGAAACACGTAATTTGAATCAATGCTATATTTATTTCTTGTTATGAATTTAGATTATCTTTTAAGAGCATTGAATACTTTATTCTTTAACAAATCAAATGAGAAAACTTCCTTGAAGACACCAAACTACTAAAAATGAAAAGTCAAATCTTTGCATCTAAAAGAAAGAGAAAGATCTCAGAAATCATAGAAAAGCATACAAGAACTCTGAACATGTCGCACTACTCTAATTTAGCCACTGCTTTTTGCCTTACCTAATGAAATTATGATAAGTAGATGCTAAGATCATATAAGAGATGGGCATCTTCATGCAAAACATTTAATGCTTGCAATAATGACTAATTTATTTTCTCTCTCTAATCTCAAAGAAAAAACAGACAAAACATCATGAGAAGATTGCTCAACGATCATTTTCTCTCAAACTATTATATAAAGGATTCTCAACCAAGACAAAAAGAGAATAGAATGACAAAGATATACAAGAGAGACAACAAGAAAATAATAGAAGAAACGAAGTGCATACCTTATAAGAAAAAATCTGTCTTGTACAGTTTATTTGTGCTTAATTTTTATAGCATCACGTCTAGAAGAGACGAAACTATCTTTATAACTATTTTCAACTTTTTATTTGTAAGGGTTAATCCAGGAGAAACTTGTTAAAAGAATACTTAGTGTGTAACAACCCAATTTTTACTGGGCCTTGGGCCCAATTCGTTGCCCGGAACGGACCGTTTCAAAAGTGAAATGGGCCGTTCCGGAATAAAGATTTTGCCTAAAAACGTAGTTGAGAACGGGCCATTCCGGTTGGAGAACAGGCCGTTCTAGTTTGGAGAACGGGCCAGATGTATAATTTTAAAGATAAAGATTTTTGTAACATTACCAAATTATAATAAGACTGAAAATTTTATTGGAATGTCAACTTATTAAATTACAGAAAAATGATAAAATTAAATGTTTGAAAACTATATTTGTATGATAACAATGTTTACAAAATATATATGGTTTATAATTTTGTTAGACAAAAAATATATATATATAACATGATAATAAATAACGTAACCGTGAAAGTAAATGTAAATTTAGTATAGGTTAAAATATAAATGACAAAGGAAATACGAATAAAAATGGTATTTTCTGGGAAAATTTTATAATAAGAAATTTCAGTGAAAAACTTTCTATTTTAAAAGAAGTAATATAAAATATAAATGAAGATAAGAAATAAGGTACTTTGGAAAATGAAATTTTGTTTTTACCAGTTATTCAAGATATAAATGGCAGAAGTAATAGAAATAAAAAAAAATTGTTACTATCACATAGTATAAAAAAAATTATTTATCTTTTAATAAGTAGACATGTTTATGTAAAAAGGTTAGAGTTTGACCATTTGAACAGTCCCCCACCCCAGAGTAGATCATGTTCCCTAAACCCACGATGATTGTTTGAATTATGAAGTTAACTTATCATTGAATTGCAATTGTTTGTCAAACAAGTGAAAATGGTATGTTTGTGGGATATTTTTATAAATAGTAATTTCAGTCAAATAAATCATATTTTTAAATAAATAATAAAAATGGTAGAAGTAATACAAATAAATCAATAGGAAAAATTGTTCCCAACATTAATTATTATTTATAAATCTCATTGGCAAAAATAATTTTATGATATTGTCTGCAAAAATAAAAAATAAAAAAGATTTGACAGTATAATAAAATATATTATAAATTTTAGTTATATATAATAAATATTTAATATGTATATCGTATAAACTAAAATACTATTTAATAAATAATTCTTTTAACCTTTAATTTTTTTTAAATAAATGGTTAAACTATTTTTGAGACCGAGTCTACAAACTAAAAATATCGGTTCTATAATGTCAATTTTTGGCCGCTTAAAACTCACAATTTGTAGAGAGCTTTTAAAACTCTTTGAAAAACAATTAAAAATAACATATAGGCAGGGGTCCAATCAAAAAAATATTTAGAAATTTATTTAAAAAAAAATACAAAAATAATATTTTAAATAGTTTTATAAAATTAAAGTTTAAAAGATCTAACCTAATTTTTTTAAAAGTTTAATT